TTGATGCTTACCTGTGTGTGAAGAGTTAGTTTTCTCGTGATGCTTTTAATTTCTTTGTCTTTGTCCTTTAATAGTTTGATTGTGTTATGTCTAGATACCTATCTCTTTATATTTGTCCTATATGGGGTCCTTTGAACTTCTTTGATGAGTAGATTAATGCTTGAGAGCATATTCAAAATGGCCGAGTGCAATTATCAAATCATATCTAATTTGATATATTTTTGTTCCTTATTCACGTATTTTTTCTACTCCTTTATCTGTTCCCTCTCCCTCCGGGATACTAGTAACAGGTTTTTTGATATGGTTATGATTGTCCCAAATGTCTCTGCGTCTTTGCTCATTTAAAAAAAAATATTTTTTCTCTCTCTTTTTTTTTTTTTAGATTGGGTAATTTACATTAACTCTCTTTAATTCACCAATTCTTTTTACAGGTCATTTTGAATATGCTCTCAAGTCCCTCGAGAATTATCTTTTCATATATGTTGGACTTTTTAACTTCAAAATTTCCATTTTTTTCAAAAATTTCTGTCTCCTTACTGAGAATCTTTATTCTTTATTCATTGTTTTACTTTTTAAAATATGGTTATCTTTGGTTTTTTAAACAGATTTAAAATAGCTGCTTTGAAGTCTGTTTAAATTGAACTTCTAAGGACACTCAAAATGTTGCTATTGACTGCTTCTCCCTCCCCCATTTCTTTGCATGCCTCATAATTTCTTGAAAACTGGACATTTTTAGATCATATATTGACACAACCCTGGATTCTGGTTTTGTAATCATTGAATGTTGTTGTTGCTTTGTTTGCTGGTTTCTTTGTTTGGTAATTTGCCCAAACTAAATCAGTGGCATCAATCTCCCCTGTGATGTATGGCCACTGATGTATCTGGGTTTTTTTGTTTTTAAGATTTTCGTTTTGAGTTTTACATTTACCTTCCTAGGACTTGCCCCTGTGGCTGTGTAGCTTAAATGATAAGCTGATGGCTGGGCAGTGGTTGTGATTAAACACTTCAGGTCAGTAAGTCGTCTCTCATCTCCTCACGAATCTCTGTAATAGAGGAATGCATTTAAAGTTTACAGTTATCAATTGTGTCCCAGTTTTTGCTTTCTGCTGGGCTCTTTCACATTTCCTCTGTGGCCATGATGGTTCAGCCAAAGCAATCTCTGCTAGCTTTGTTCCTCTTCAGTCTCTATTGCACATCCTCAGCCTTAGCCAAGAATATGCTTGCCCCAGTTATGACCACGGCCTTGGGCTGATAGAGGTGTGTGGCTCTCCCTGCTTGCTGGCTTCTTAGATCTTCACTTCCACTGACACCATCATGGGCTTAGACATTACCTACCATTCAAACTCAAGTGAGCCCCCTTTGACCACAGCAGATACATTTCCAGTCCTGTGATCTTCCCCACCCTGGGAGGACCTCTGTGCTGTCTGAGCTGTGGTTGATGGTTGTAAGAGTAGCTCCAGGCCAGAATGCCACAGGGTCCTCGTGTTCTTACCTAAAGATTAGCAGTTTTTCACATGTGAATGTTTCTCAATTTGTTATATTCTTTTGGTCAATTTCTAGAGCACCAAAATAGTTGTATTTGTCAATTTTGTCTTGCTCCTTGGTTTTTTTTTTTTTTGGAAGAGTATTTGCTAATTGCGCTCAGCCATAGGTGGAAGTCCTGTTTATGGTCTTGTATTATGTATACATTTTTTTTTTCTTTACTCTCTTAGGATGATGGGAAAGTTACACATTCTATTAACTGATTTATCTCTATTTTCTTTGGAGTAAATTTTTGTTTTACATTGATCTCAAATGTGAAAAAAAGATTTTTTTTTTGAAATGCCCAGTGGTCCTTGGCTTTGCATTCATATTAGAAAAGAGAAAATAAAAAAGCTGCCTGGAAATTATATTTGGGTGGCACTGATTTGACTTGTAAGCTTTGCTTTAGAGTGAATAGGTGGAACCATGCATATACCTGAAGTCAGAAGGGGCCAGAAAGAGGCCGTCTTGTTTTGGGAGTACCTATATTTATGCTATGTTTTCTACTTTTCTAGACAATTCATTTCCTCAAACACAATTCATTTCCTCTCATTTACTTTTTTTTTTTTTTTTTTACTCAAAGTAGATATTTAACTAAAGACAAAAAGAAAGTAGTTGCTTGTATACAAAGATAGGGGAGGGAGAATCAGGACAAATCTTCAAGTGATTGCATATTTCAGCTTCACTCCTTACTCCACACTCTGCCAGGGATATTAGCTCATTCTTTTAATTGCAGTGCTCCCTGCACACATTCTATCATTTGGCTTTTCCTGCTCTCTTTCTCCTATGAATGTTCCTTCATCTGTCTTACATGTACAAATTTGTACGGAGGGCTTGCTCAGTCTCTTCACCATTATGGATTTATATCCTCTTCCCCCACCCCAACACACACCTTTATTATCTTTTTAAGAGGATTGCTAGAGGGAGATGGGGAAAAATACACAATCAGTGATCTTCTTAACCAAAAATTTTGTGCACATATTTTTAAACTAGAGACCCAGTGCACAAAATTCATGCACTTGCAGGGGGTGGGAGGGATGAGGGATCCCTCAGCACAGCCTGCACCCTCTTGCAGTCCAGGAGCCCTTGGGGGATGTCCGACTGATGGCTTAGGCCTGCTCCCTGTTCTCTTTGAGCCCGGCTTCTGGCTGAGCAGCGCTCCCCCCTGTGGGAGCGCACTGACCACCAGAGGGAAACTCCTGCATTGAGGGGGATCAGGCTGAAACCAGCTCTCTGACATCCCCGAGGACTCCCAGATTGCAAAAGGGTGCAGGCCAGGTCGAGGAACCCCACTGGTGCATGGTCGAGGCTGGGAGGGATGCAAGAGGTTGGCCAGCCAGGGAGGGACCACAGGAGGGCTCCAGGGCATGGCTGGCCTGTCTTGCTCAGTCCCAATCGGCCGGACCCCAGCAGCAAGCTAACCTACCAGTCAGAGGACCTGCCCCCTGGTGGTCAGTGCACATCATAGCGAGCGGTTGAGCGGCCTTAGCATATCATTAGCATATTACACTTTGATTGATTGAAAGGATGACCAGACGACCGGACACTTAGCATATTAGACTTTTATTATATAGGATGGTTGCAATGCTGTCTGGATGCTATTTTCACCTCTCCATTTTAGCATGTTCTACATTGCTGTACTTCATAATTATTGTTTGTAGTTGATTATGAACATACTTTAATGAAACAGTTTATTGTGTTTTTATTATTATTATAATGGTTATTATTTTTAGTTATCGCCTCCTGTTTCCTTACCCTTTACTCCATCCCACCATTATGTACATATACCTTTCCTCAGGTAACCAATGTTAACAACATTGACAGTTTGTGAAACAGTAAGTGCTATTTTCCTTTGGTCAAACTGATTGAAAGCTATCAAGAAGGATAGTTCACCCTAGAGCAGGCTGACATTGTCATCAAGAAAGTAATCTGAGTTATTTGTGGGGTTTCCAAGAAATGCTGTGATTTCAGCTGTGGAGTTAGGTGATGTGTTGTATCTCTATAATGGCTTCCCTGTGTTGGCATCTCCACTTTAGTTCTTCAGTGGAAGTGAACCATATTCCTTGTAATAATTCATCTGTTTCCTTTTGTTCAGATTCATTTCCCCAAGTGGTCAAGTTGTCTGTGAGGGTTTTGTCTGTTTCTGATAAACTGGAAATCAGCCTGGGATAGTAGATGTTAGTAACATTGAAGCACTTATTTGTCAGACACCAAAGAAAAGCCGAAAATTATATTTATCAAAAGGAATACTTGGGATCTTCTTCATATCGGTTTTCTAGTCAACCTAGGCCTAACTAAAAGAACAGTTTGGCTGATTATGGATAACAAAATAGTCTTTTCTATTAAAAAGTACATTTATTGCTTATTGCTTATTTTTTTCTTTTAGTAAAGCAAGATAAGGAAGTATAGATTTTTGAAATGAAAAAGTAAAACTTATCACTTGTACATAATGTAAAACTACAGAAAATGAAGAGTTCAGTAAATATCCTGGATAAAAATATCAATATACAAAAATTATACAGATACACATATAAACAAAAATGAAAAAAGCTTTGTAAACAGATATTGTCTAAATTAACATTCAAAATATGACGTGCCTAGGAATACATCTATCATAACAAGAAATATGCAAAACTCCCTTGGAGAAAATAGAAAAGCATTACCTTGTGACAATAAGACCTCAATAAGTGGAATGATATGTACAATGCACATGATGGAAAACTAAACGTTTTGCAGGTGCCTAATTTGATCAGTGCAATATCAACCAAATTTTTATCTGTTTTGATAGGGAAGGGAGAATACTTGATGAAAGAGTCTAAAATTATATGAAAGAGTCTAAAATTAATAAAAGACAAGGGCCAGTGGCTAAGAATAACAACAGTGTACGTTGGTTCAGGGAAAGACAAGTAGTCTGGTGGAACCTTACTAGTGAAAGTGTATTCTGTGGACCCACCCAAAGCATTGGTGGAGTTACCTGGGAGCTTGTTAGAAATATACAATCTCAAACCCCAACCCCAGATCAATTGAATCAGAATCTATTTTAACAAGATAACCAGAAGAGTGGAAAAGGATGGTTTTAATAAATTGTTATGGAGGAACTGGTAACTAAACAGGAAGAAAGTGATTGTATTGAAAGGCACTGCTTGTTTTATGTCCTGCAACCTTCCCTTACTCTCTGTGATCTACATTTCTTTAGGGACATTTGAAAAATCAATGAAAATAAAAAGAATGTTTTGAATATGCATTTTCATAGGAGCCTCTGTTATCCATGTGCTTGTAAGCTGTGGATCACCTTGTTAATAAGGTTTTCTTAGGTGCTCCAACTTCAGCGTGTCTTTATGTATGTTCAGTATCTCTTAGATCTAGCTTGTATGTCATAACCTAATGATAGTACTGTCACTACCAATGTACAGAACTAATGTTGTGACTATATCCCCTCCATTGTAGCAGTGACAAAGTATTATCTAATTATTTTATAGGTGTGTTTTGTATATTTTGGAAAAAACTCTGCTGAAGATCCTAAAGAAAGGGTAGTTCTTTTACCAACAAACCAGAAGGAAATAACTTTCCACCTACTTAGGATTGGAAGACCAGCTCATTCTTAGCACCTTCTGAAACAAAATTAGGTAAGAAATGTTTTCATCATATTTCAAATAATTTGTGCCTCACCCACTTCATTTCCTTCAAGGCTTCTATAATTCTATTCCTTTGGCCTCTAAGAGAGAATATAGCTCACATTTTCCTTTAGGAAGTTAGTGTGCCAGCCAGCTGTCAGCCTTATGATGCGCCTGATCTCCCATGTCAGGGGAAGCACAATTCAATTTTAAACTAAGTCTGCGCAACAGTGCAGCAAGGCTGCCAGCATCTCCCTTTATGTCTCTTTCTTTGAAATTCTTCCTTCCACCTGAACAGTATGGCTTTATTTTTAAATCCTTTGTATGAGATGAAACCAACCACTAACTAACTTTGCTTGTCTTTAGTTAAAAACCAGAGAATTGAAAGAAATAATCTGTAACTATTTCTGCAACCCTTTCTCATTTCTAGAAAATAAAGTACCACTGCTTGTTTAACTTATGACTTGTCTAAACATGTTGAAAGCATTGACTATAAGGCATAACACTCAGACTCTGAAAGGGAACTGTGAAAAGTTCAGTCAAAAGGGAAATGAAGAATAATTTATAAAAGGCACCACAGATAATGATGCCAGCTGGTTATTTTAAAATGCATCCATCTCACCTTGTAATGAATTAGATTTGTCAATAGCAAATGTTTTATGCACCACTTCTACAAAAAATGGCGTGCTGGAGCTGCAGGGCTTTGAGGGTGGCTTCTTCAAAGCTTTACAAGTATCCTCGATTCAAAGACTTTTTTAAAATAATATATATTAAAAAGTTTATTTAAATAATATTAAGGCTGTGACACAAACACCAAATGACAAAAATCAGGAGTTTCAAAGCAGAGGCTGACATGCCATCACTATTTCACACAGTAACTGTTTTTCAAATGAGGGGTGTACCAGGCTGATTTGGGGATTGTGTGTCAGTTTAACTTTAAATTTTCTTGTTATTTTGGTTGTTGTCACAACCTTAATGTCAGTTTTTCAAATAGATTTCTACATTTCCTTTGGTTTTGAGGTCATTAAAAAATGCATATGATAAATCTAACAGGCATAAATAGGTCACACGGAAGTGGAATTCCTTGCTTCTCGGGTGTTAAGAGACAGCTAATACCTGCCTTGTAAGTGGGGAAAGTTAGCTCAGACATTTCAGTGAATTTCTGTTTTTCAGGAATTCTATTCAGACTAATATAAACCCAAATAACAAGACATGATGTTGAGATAATTCTGTTCACATTCTATTGTTCCTGTACCACTAATGCTAACCATTTGATCTTGGTGGTTATCACCTCTGTAGATGTTAAAAACCACAATTGATACTTTTTTCACTAAAATTACAAGTTAAGTTTGATAATTATTTCAATTGAAGAATTCTTTTTGGAAAGACATTGAGGGGAAAGAGGAGGGAGATTGTCAAGGGCGGGGAAAAAATAGACGTATGTAATGCTCTTTGTAATACTTTAAGCAATAAAACAATTTTAAAAAAAGAATTCTTATTCAGTGTAGTTGAGTGTAGGTAAACACTGCCTTAAATTTTTTCATATGGCAGTCCTTTTTATAAAGCACTGTTATGCAGAGTTTTGAAAATAAAATCTTGCTTTCTAAAGTAACACTTGTTACTTGTGTTAAATTTTTCTCTAGTACCACACCAGACTTTAAAGGAGCAGCCAGGAGCATTCTGCAGGGAAAGACAGAAAGGGGAACGAGGAGGGAGAGAATAATCTACTTACCCACATTCCTCTCTCTTTTTTTTTATTCTTTTGTTCAAAATGAGCTGCCAGGGCAGGTCTGCATTGCATATGCTGAATCTACTTTTAATTTAGAATAAATATATTAGAATCTGTCCCACAGTTGTCTTTTTCAGCACCTGTGTTAGAGAAATAAAAGATGAAAAGAGAAGCAAATTGTTTATTGATCTTTTTCTGCTGACTCATAAAGATACTAACCAACCCAAAACACTTCCATAGCTATCATCTCCTCTTTGCTTGAGCCACCAGATTTTATCCTTACTGGTTTTTTATCAATGACTGGGAAAACGTTAATCATTTTTTTCTAGTGCACTTCATTTCTTATCTCTTTATTATATACTAGAGGCCCGGTGCACAAAAATTTGTGCACTCGGGGGGGAGGGGGGGTTCCTCAGCCCGGCCTGTGCCCTCTCGCAGTCTGGGAGCCCTCGGGAGATAATGACCTGCTGGCTTAGGCCCACTCCCGGGTGGCAGAGGGCAGGCCCAATCCCTAGATGCAGCCCCTGGTCGGGCTCAGAGCTGATTGGAGAGTTGGGGCGCCGGCCCCTGTCATGCACAGAGCAGGGCGGATCGGGAGGTTGCGATGCCACCCTCAGTCACGCTCAGAGCAGGGCCAATCAGGGGGTTGGGGAGCTCTTCCCTGTCACTCACAGAGTAGGGCCGATAGGGGAGTTGGGGCACTGCCCCCTGTCACACACAGAGCAAGGCAGATCAGGGGGTTGGGGCGCCGCCACTCTCACACTCAGGGCAGGGCCGATGGGGAGGTTATGGCTCTACCCTGTCACACACAGAGCAGGGCCCGTGGTGGGGGGGGGGGTGTTGGGGCGCCGCACCTTGTCACACACAGAGCAGGGCGGATCAGGGTGTTGGGGCGCCGCACCCTGTCACACACAGAGCAGGGCGGATCAGGGTGTTGGGGCGCCGCACCCTGTCACACACAGAGGCGCAGGGCGATCAGGGGGTTGGGGAGCTCCCCCCTATCAGGCACAGAGCAGGGCTGATCAGGGTGTTGGGGCGTCTTCCCCTGTCACGAACAGAGCAGGGCCGATAGGGAGGTTGTGGCCCCGCCCCCTGTCACACACAGAGCCGTAAGGCGATCAGGGGGTTTTGGCGCTGCCCCCGTCATGCTGATCCCGGTGCTGGGAGGCCTCGTGGCTCCGCTGATCCTGGTGCTGGGAGGCATATTACCCTTTTACTATATAGGATAGAGGCCTGGTGCATAAGTGGTGGCCGGCTGGTTTGCCCTGAAGGGTGTCCTGGATCAGGGTGGGGATCCCCACTGGGGTGCCTGGCCAGCCTGGGTGAGGGGATGATGGCTGTTTGCAGCTGGTAACACACCCTTCAGAGTGGGGGTCCCCACTGGGGTGCCTGGCCAGTCTGGGTGAGGGGCTGAGGGCTGTTTTCAGGGTGGCAGGTGACTGAAGCTCCCAACCGCTCCTTTTTTTCTTTTTCTTTTTTATTCTGGGCCAGCTTTAGCTCTGGCTCCAGCTCTGAGGTCTTTGCTGCTGAAAGCAGGTATCTGGTTTGTTTGGGTTCTATAATCGAAACAATGTATAACTCCAGCTCTGAGATCCCGGCCTCGCTGAAAGCAGGTTTCTGGGGTTTTGTTTAGCTTCTACATTCATTACAGTGTTTCTTAAACTGCAGGCTCAGAGGCCGGCAAGGCAGGCGGGGAACGTTGGTTTTCTCCGTCACTGAAGCAAGCAAGCCTCATGTTAGTTTCCAGCTGCCTGGCTGCCGGCCGCCATCTTGGCTGGCAGTTAATTTGCATATTGCCCTGATTAGCCAATGGGAAGGGTAGCGGTCATTTGCCAATTACCATGTTTCTCTTTTATTAGATAGGATATGTACAGTGTTGAATTTGAGAAATTTCTAATCATTTTCATTTGGGATGATGATGTGGAATTTTCTCTTCATTTCTGGTCCTAACTTTACTTTTCCTACTCATCGAATCCTCCCATATCACATCATTATTAAATCATCACAATTCTAACAAGTAATATTTTTTCTAAGCCCCAGTCCTCAACAATAAGAGTTAACTAGAAGAAAAAAAACAAAAACAAACAAACAAAATAAAGAGGTAATCATGCTGCATTGTATAGTGGTTTGAAAGTGTATACACTTGTGTATAAAGGTTTTGGCTAAGTTCTCCAAACTCATTAAAACTATACTAGTGCCCTTGTTTGAACAAATCGTTATTATTTTTTTAAAAAATATATTTATTTTTATTGATTTCTTACAGAGAGGAAGAGAGAGGGATAGAGAGTTAGAAACATTGACGAGAGAGAAACATCGATCAGCTGCCTCCTGCACACCTCCTAGTGGGGATATCCCCGCAACCAAGGCACATGCCCTTGACCGGAATCAAACCTAGGACCCTTCAGTCCACAGGCCGACGCTCTATCCACTGAGCCAAAATGGTCAGGGCCAAATCGTTATTATTGTTCATACTAATACAAGTTCTGATTCCTATTTGATAAAAACAAAATTTTTAAACAAAAATTCAGAGGAAACTTTCTAAATTCAGAGGAAGCTATCAAATAAATGAATTGTAACTCAGTGTATACTGTAATATTAAAAAGTTTTCTGACAGGGAAACTAAATATTATAGGCTCTTACAAATTCATTTAGGGCACTTTCAGATTTATGCATTTAATAAGCTGGGTAGTTAATCTGACATATATTTAATGTCCTTCAATGAACGGTGATGTTCTAGTGACTGCTTGGCAGAGAATGATGAACTTTTGTTTAGTGTTTATGCTCCATAAGTTAATTCTATAAATGTCTTTCTAATGGGGTACAATATATGCTTTTAATAGTTTTCTATAATATTAAGAGGTAATATGCATTGAGTATTTTCTATATGACAGCAACTGTTCTAAGTACTATCCATGGATTATCTCATGTAATCCCCATAAAAATTCTTTAATGCTATCACTTTTATAAATGTTGTGGGGGAACATGAAAGGAAATATTACAAAACTAGTAAATAATGGAACTGAGATTCAGACACAAGTAGTGTGACCACAGAGCTCCCACTCTAAACCCTCACTACTCAAAGTGCGATCTGCTGGCCAGCAGTGCCTGGGAACTTGTTAGAATTTAAAATCCAAGGCCCACCCCAACCCTATTGAAGATCTACATTTTTAAAAAATATTTTTATTGATTTCAGAGAGGAAAGTATTGGAAGTGAGAGATAGAAACATTACTGATGACAGAGAATCATTGATCAGCTGCCTCCTGCACACCCCCCACTGGGACC